CGACCCCTTTTCGTTTTTTGCTGCTTTCTAAGGATTTTTTTAGTATTCCCCCTAAGGCCGAAAACTCGGAATGTGACATGGAAACACCTTTTAAAGGCATACCCTAACGAGATACGACCCTACCAAAATGGAATCCGCCCATTAATGTAGACAGCGAAACAGGAAAAAAACAATTATCAAAAAATATTCTCGCATAAAATACGACCAGCCTCCCTCTAATGCGACCCCCGGTGGGTATCCCCCAACGCACGACCTGTCCTGCCCCCTCTCCTCTCCTCCTCCCCCCCACCTTCCATCCTGTTCTACCAAACTTGACCACCTCCTAGAGTTCCAGTCGGTTCATTTCCTCTCATTTCGAACTACTTTCCGTTCATTTTTTCTGACTTCCTCTTCTGACTCTATCAATGAAGGAGCGAAATGAAATGAACATAGACCAAATCCAGAGAGATAGGCTTTCAGGTCATTTTTACTCGTTACTGGCTCTCTGTTCTCCATGAACACAGCTGCTCATATTCACAGAGATTCCTCTACACTTTTCTAAATCAAAAATCGCGACAAACAATTCTAATTTGTCCTTTTTCGCTCGCACTTGGAGCGTCCTCAATAACGAATGAGACAAAAATGTTCCGAAACATTTGCGCTCAAAGGATTCCTGTTGACAATGCAACGTACAGAAAGCGAACAAACCTTTGACAGGGGCGCTATGAATAGCCGTCTCCAGCGTTTTGATCCATTTCTGGCGATCCGTTTTTGAGTTGAACTCCACTTCTAGGAGTGCTGGCTTTGTAATGGCACCAGAGATGATCATCACAGATGCGCTACGATCGGCTGGTCGCAGAATGAGGCCACTGACAGGGAACACCGATTGCTCCTGAACGGACTAATTTTTAACATCAGTTTTTTCCGTGAGGTGCTTTCAACCAATCCTCAAGAAGTTAGAATGTTAATTTTCAGTACAATAATATCGCAAGTATTTTATTAAAGGAAAGACAAACTCCGATGAGCTTCATATGAAACCAACGACTCCAGCAAAGCGCAATCATTTATCGCAAGGGAAACCCTCAAAGCCTATTGGAGTTAGTTTATCAATTAAAAATGAACCGGAGGGAAGGATGCCTCATAATAACATGGGAAGCTTAACCCTTCTATATGAACGACATTTTAAAGGCAGTTGGCACGATAATATGGTACTCGGCCTAAACTGCTAGCAGGGCGCTATATAAAAGGAAAATGGCGAAAAAACGAAGTGAAACGGTCGAAAACTGCGAAGAAAAGCCTTCGTTCTTAAAAAGCAATTTCGGACGAGTTTCCCGTAGGCACCCTGCCAATAACCGCTACGGTAGGTACGGCATGTATGTACTCATATATCCATGCAGCATCACAGCCGCTTCATACCAATGCCTTCGTTTCATATTTGCTTAGCGAATGAAGCAATACGAGCATCAGGTACGGTCGTCCATTTGTGGGCGGGCGGGCGTGGTGGGCGTTCGGGTCGGTATGTTGTAGCTTGATAGGGCCCTTATAAGGGTACCTTCCTGGGAAAGCCTGTGCCTGTTTAGGGTCGCGGAATTCTGTCCTGCCAGGCATATTGACCCTACTCGTTTTTGGGGATTTATCGTGCCAACTGCCTTTAATAGTGACCCTGAAAGAGGAACAAACCGAAGCAACCCTACCGCCGACCTGAGGGTAGTTTGGTGGCTTGGTTACGGAGGATGTCCCTTCCGACAATATGTGCTGATGTCAAACTTCAGTTGGGTGGTGGAGGTCGTTCCTTCCTTTTAGCAGGAAATGTCACCCCAGTGGGAGGAAATTTCCTGTTTGAAACCCGATACCCACTTTTACCCTTTCCCCAACATCCATATCAGTCGAGTAGTAGAAGGTGGGTACCTAGCGCGAAACGGCAAAGAAAAATGAATAGGTTCAACTACCGAACGAGAAAACATCACTAAGAAAACCACTGACCTGTTGGATAAACACATATTTTTGATTACTACGGCGTTGCAAGCACACAAGGATATCATCAAATAAAACCATAAATACTGAAACGATGAGTTTTCACTTCACAGTAAAAGGAAAAAAGGGCAAATGCAATATGTCAGTACCTTTTTCAACGACCTTTGTACTCGAATTCTTCATACAAACATCTCCTAGACACATAAGTCGTCGTTGGCCTGACGCTACATCTTTCACATTGATATCGAGATCTTGCATCTGAAAACCGCAATTAAATAAATTATAGAGAGAAGGCCGGAGAATAAGAAAAGACGTAGCACCCATTTCCGTTAGAAAAAGGAGGAAAAAGGACGCAAGGTCACAGTAACCTTACAGACACCCGACGCGATCCCTTGTCTTTTTTGTTGTAGCCTGTTGTAAACCCCTCATCTCGGACCAACAGGTAGGACGTAAGCGTTAAAGACAGCGCTCGCGATCGACTTCAGTAGGTTTAAGGGGTCAGATTGTGGCAAGTGAAGCATTAATCAAAAAAGTAGGAAAAAAGGGTGCAAGAACATACACTAGGACCCTATTCGATTCAAGGCATCTGGACGAGTTTCGCAAATTTTGGGTGAGTTCTCCAGGCGGGGTCAGCTTAGCGTTGTTGACTCCGCCTTCGTCAATCGATTTCGAGCCGCAAGAGTGGGATATCCGCTGTGGTTGCGGACTCCGCGATCTTGTACAGTGCAGGGTTTTTTCACCTTGATTGATCGCGGACGCTGCCTTTAACCAGCGAACTTTTTTCAAAGCTCCGAAGGACTTTTTCCAGAGAACAAGCGGGGTGGGGGTATACAGCGCTAGTGCAACTCAGCGGGGAAACCGTGGGGAAACCAAGAAAAGTCTAACAACCGGGAACATTTTTTTCTGGAATTTTTTCATGGAACTTGCGCCACAAGTTCAGTCTAGAACTGAAAAATGAGGTGATGAGATCCAGCCCTTGTGGGCTCTAAAATTGCCGTTCTTTTTACCCGGCATATAAAAAGTAAAATATACATATTCCGCTACTGAATATTCCTTTCTGGGATGCGCTAGATAGTTTACTGCTATCAAGAATCGTCGCTGCACTTGAATGTGATTTAGCTTAAGAAGAAGCTGCACGGGCTACCTACTACATTGTAGGTCCCGGACAATGTATTAATCAACTGATCCCGGAGGAAGAGAGAGAAAATGAAGGCCTGGCTGTCTCGGGTTGGAGCCAATCCGAGACTTGACTCGAGGTGCACTTGGCAAGCGGCACTATTCGCCACCTGCCCCTACTATTTGTGAC